CCTTCGGTTGCGTTTGTTGGCGTGATGGAACTGGGCGAAGCGTTGACATTGCTTGCCTTAACTTGTGGACGCAGGAGGGGGGATCCACGCTGTCTGGTATGGTAGGCGGCTCGATCATGTCCGCAGGCAGGCGTAGCGGAGCACCGTAGACGAGCTCAGCCACCGTACTCCCCAGGTCAGGTTTGAGCGTCGAACGCAACCCAAGCAGCACAATGGGCAAGTTGTCGACCCAAGCATCGGGAGACGACTGCGTGCGAAGTGCTGATTTTAGCTGCCTATGAAGGCGTTCCACGAGGCCATTTGCTGCAGGATGGTAAGCTGTTGTGCGCGTACGGGAGCAGCCGAGGAGGGACGTGAGTTGACGAAATAGAGCGGACTCAAATTGGCGTCCTCGATCGGTCGTCACCGTGGAAGGTACTCCGAAACGGCTTACCCAGGTAAATAGGAAAGCTCTGGCGACCGTCTCGGCCGTTATGTTCTCGAGCGGGTAAACTTCAGGCCATCGGGAGAAACGGTCGACGCACGTCAATAAATAGGTGAAACCGCGTGATGGGGGCAAAGGTCCGACGATGTCCACGTGCACCTGCTCGAAACGTAGTGACGGAAGTGGAAAGGCTCCGAGCGGTGTTCGTGTGTGTCGCTGTACTTTGCAACGTTGGCAGGCAAGACAGGAACGTACCCAATCACGAACGTCGGCCTTGACTTTGGGCCAGACAAAACGGTTCGTAATCAGTTCCTGCGTTGCACGGACACCAGGATGGCAAAGCGAATGTAGCGACGTGAACACAGCACGACGTAAGTTTTCTGGAACGTAAGGTCGTGGTGTTCCCGTGGACTTGTCGCAGACGAGGGTGAAACCGTGATCGGGGAAAAATACGTCCTCAAATATCAGTGAAGTGCCGGCTTCGCGAATGGATGGAAGCTCGTCGTCATCTCTTTGGGCCTCTGCAAGCTCAGAATAGGTAAACTGCGTCTTCTCTGTAGCAATGACGTTGAGGTCCAAACGAGACAGTGTATCGGCAGCGGTGTTGTCTTTTCCTTTCACGTGGCGCAGGTCGGTGGTGAACTCTGCGATAAAGGAGAGGTGACGGCACTCTCGCGGGGAATGGTTCTGACTGGGCGACTGAATTGCATGAACGAGCGGCTTGTGATCTGTCGCGATGAAAAATTGGCGTCCCTCTAGGAAATGTCGGAAATGCTTTACAGCCAAGTAGGTAGCCAGCAATTCTCTACCAAAAGTGCTGTAGCGTTTTTCAGTGTCTTGCAGCTTTCGTGAGAAAAAAGAGATGGGAGACCAAATGTTGTCGATCTTTTGCTCCAAGACGGCGCCAACAGCAGCGCTGGAAGCATCGACCATCAGGCAAGTCAGTGCTTCAGGTGAAGGATGTACAAGCAAGGTGGCGTCCGCGAGTTCTTTCTTAACCTTGTCGAAAGCAAATGCTGCCTCAGGGAGCCAAGCAAGGGGTGACTTCTCTGCGGTGGAACTGCAGAGTAGGGCTTCCAGGGGGTGTAGCAACACTGCGCACTGTGGCACAAAACGCCTGTAAAAATTGACAAGGCCAAGGAATCGTCGTAGAGCGCGCTTTGTTGTTGGAGGTGGACAGTCCAAAATAACCTGAACTTTTTCTGGAAGCGGTTTGATTCCTTGACTGTTAATTTTGTGGCCAAGAAATTCAAGTTCGGTTGCTCTGAACTGGCACTTGTCGGTGTTGATTACAATTCCATGATCGTGGAGCCTACCGAAGACTTGCTCCAAGTGGACCTTGTGCTCATCCGGGTTCGCACTGACAATGAGGAGGTCGTCCAGGTAAGCAAAGCAGAAGGGGAGACCACGGATGACTTCGTCGATGAAACGTTGGAACGTTTGGGCCGCATTACGAAGCCCAAATGGCATCCGAACGTATTCAAAGAGGCCAAAAGGTGTTGTTATGGCGGTCTTCGGTATGTCGGATGGCTCAACGGGGATCTGATGGTATGCCTTGATGAGGTCGATTTTGGAATAGATTGTCGTGCCCGTCAGAAACGATGTACAGTCCTGGACATTTGGGATGGGGTAGCGGTCCGGCACTGTTGCGGCGTTGAGGGCGCGGTAGTCACCACAGGGGCGCCAGTCGCCAGACTTTTTGGGCACCATGTGAAGGGCGGATGACCAGGGACTGGATGAGGGTCGGACAATACCTAGTTGAAGCATATGCTCGAATTCTTCACGAGCGACGCGCAGCTTGTCAGGTCCAAGGCGACGTGGTCGGCAATGAACTGGCGGTCCGGTCGTGAGAATGTGATGCGTTACATCGTGCTTCGGCGTCTCCTCGAAGTTTCTTGGCTTGGTCAGATCGGGATACTTCTGCAGGATTCGGGTGAACTCGTTTGCGGGCGGCTTCACGAAAGTTGGGCTAAGCGTTGGAGCCCGCGATAGGACTCCCGAGACGTATATCTTGGTGCTTGAATCGATCAGTCGTTTGTTCTTCATGTCTACGAGGAGATTGAAGTTTCGCAAGAAATCGGCACCGACGATCGCGTGCTCTACGTCAGCTACCCAGAACAACCACTGAAACCGACGTCTGAGACCGAGGTCCAGGGTCAGTGATTTTTGTCCATAGGTAGCAATGAGGGAAGCGTTGACGGCTTGCAGCGAAGATGTTTGGGTACGATTTCTGCGGTCGAAAGTAGAGGCAGGGATGACACTTACTTCTGCACCTGTGTCGACCAGGAAACGTGTGCCGCTGATCTTGTCGCGAACGTGGAAAAGGCGGCTAGTAGGCTGGTATGGGTCGCTGGCCGCCACTAGCGACCGCCCATCCCGTTTCCCTGGTCCCAGGAACAGGGAGCCCGACAGTGGCGGGCTTCAGAGCCAAACTGTCGGTGGTATCGGCACAGCGACTTTGTAGAAGGCGGGGGAGATGGTGAGGGTTGACGGGAGCTGTCGCGACCAAAGCGTTGGCCTGCACGGTCTCGCGAGCGCCGTCCCGTCGACCGAGCACGTTGGGAGGATTCTCGTCGAAGCTCGGACACCTCTGCCGTCAGTTTCTCCATGGCCTTCCGGAGTTCGGCGATGTCCGAAGTAAGGTCGGAAGTTCGCTGTGTTGCGCCGATGGTAGGGCTGTTGACCTCCATGATTCGGTCAGCTAGCTCGGCGAGTTCCAGGAGTGGAAGACTGTGGGCCACAGCTAAGCCTACGCGAACGGGAGACGGGAGCCGCTGTAAGAAAAGCTCTCGAAGGATGGCTCCGTCGAGGGAGGCCGCCTTGTCGCCTAGCAAGTGTTGTAGGTGACGCAAGAACTGAGATGGGCGACGGTCACCCAGTTCTTCAGCGCTAAGGAGCTGCTGGAGGCGTCGCTGCTCTGAAGCGACGAGGCGACTGACGAGAGCCTCCTTGAGTGTGTCATACGGAGTGTCGCCGAGCGGCGAGAGGAGGATGTCTCTAACCTCGGTGGCGGCTTGGGGTGGGAGGGCGTCGATGAGGAGCTCGTGCTGCCTTATCTGGGAGGTTATTCGGTGCAGGCGGAACTTGTTCTCCACCTGCACGAACCAGAGTGCTGGATCTTCTGCCCAGAACTTAGGAAGAGTCAGGACAGTGGTAGCTTCAATGGCGAGGGGGACGTCTTGGTCAGCTCCTGTAGCCATGGCGGCGGATGTCCGGGTCACCAGAAATGTAGCGTGCTTGGTTTTGTGTAACTACATTTATATTTACAATATTTACAAATGGTTAGTTGCGATGCAGGAGCGGGCCATCGTAGAACGTCCGTGCACCACGTCACCCCGAATCTCACTGACTCTCGTGGCACCCGCCACGAACCGCGTGGCACCGAAACACACCGATCTCGCTGTCGTTCTCGTCCTTGTAGCTCGGGGGCTACAATGGTTTAACGAACGCCTCAATTGGACGCACCATGTAAATAAAATACGAAACGAAATCTCAAAATCAATAGGCCTAATTTCATCTGCAAAGCATCTTTTACCGGAATGGCTGAAGTACCAACTGTATTATGGCTGATATATACCAAGGTTTACTACTGCTTTCTTGTCTGGGGTCAGACGACAAAAACAAATGTCACACATCTGCACTTATTACAAAAAAAAAGCGGTTCGTCTAATACACAATTCTGCTTATGATGCACATACAGCTCCGCGTTTTGAGAAGTATAAAATTTTGAGCTTTGAGCATCTCTACATTTATAAACTAGCACTCTACATATTTCATGACCATAGACTTCAACAACCCAGCTATCCATCTGCCTGCACTAGACCCGACCACCATTACAACACTCGAAATGACAAGTATATACTCCCCAAAATCAGGACAAACATGGGCAGACAAACGCTTTCATTTCAAATCCCAAACTTCCTTAATACACGCAGTTATCTTCATACACTTATTACGGCAAATATATCGCTAAACAGATACAAAAGCATAGTGAAAGAAACCCTCTTGCCCACAAATGTCGCAAACTGAACTGAAATATCTGGATTTATCCTCTTTGCTATCTCTGTTGTTGTTGTCTTTTTTGTCTTGTTTTGTAGGTATTTTGTGTTATGGTATTATAGTATAGTTTTATAGTATCAAAAATGTGTACTATCTAAACGTCATTGAAATGTATATTTTGTTATTCATTACATTTTTTTAAGAGCGCTTCTTGTTTTAGTGTGCTCTGCTGTCGACGAGTGTCATTGTCTTTTTAATATTTCATTTATGTAGCGGTACCAAGGCCTCGTCAGATCTTCTGGTCTTTTGCCTTGGTACTGCAGACAAAATGTATTGTCTAAACAGACTGAAATAAAAAAAAAAAAACTTACAGCAACTCACTGACAACTTCAAGAAACGTAGGGCGGAGTGAGTCCGCAGCCAATGGGGTCAGGGCTTTGGCCAAGAGGAGCGCTAAAGAAACAATAACGAAGCAAAGTACACGAACATATCAAACCATGCCGCACGTTTCTTAAGATCAGTCACATGCCATGCTCACGCTTGAACAATTTAACAACGTCTGATGTTTCACTTTCAGTGACCTAACGCTGACCTTGAGTTCGTCGCCAGGGTATACTCTCAAAAACATTGGGATTCATCAAGCCGTTGGCCGTGAGTATTGTCTTCGAAGGCTACCTACAGTGGAACTACATTAAGATTAAAGGGAAGCTGGAGATGACACCAATGTCGGAATGATATTACACTCTAAAACAAATTTGTTCTTGAAAGGGTTTTCAACGCCCCAAAAACTTTTCCAGCTCCTGAAGAACGTTTTTGCCTCAAGCACTTTTGCCCCCTTTCGCACAAAGAAGGCACGTGGGCAAAAAAAAAAAAAAAAAAAAGCTTTTTCGCATAAAGAAAAATTAAGCGTTTTTTTTTATTGGTTTTTTACGAAGAACCCTTTTAGGGGGTTCTTAAAAGACCTTGATACGGTACAAATTATGGACAAGGCGAAGTACCCCTAGAGTTCTTTTACGGCCAATTGTTTTCATGGTGTACGAGTGTTTTAAAATAGTATATGTGTGCAATTGCTTTATTGCATTTTTAAGAGCGGAGCTGTCGTCGCTTAAAACTGCGCCCTTGACCCTCCTGCCGTAGCTCACTGAGTGCGGGAAAAAGAAAGAAAGTGAAGGGAAGGTACGTCATTGATAGTATGAGATTAGGCTTTTGCAAGTTTAGCGCACGTATAATATTCCCTTATATTCGCGCGGATTACAACAGCTGCAGCGTTTGTGTCGCAGAAGCGTATCAACTAGGCATGTCCCTAACTTAACCTATACCTCTTGGTCCGTCCTAGCGCGTTTAACGTATACCTTTGATCATTATAGACAATTGCAAGCATGGCGCCACAAGTGGTGCCCCATGCGTGCAAGCGCGTGCAACGCGCGCGTGAACGTAGCTTTCGCAAGCTCTTGATCGCAGGGGCGTGCCTGCTCGAGCAGAGACATGGCGGCGGCCAGTCGCCCAGCTTGCAATCGTCTATAGACGCTTTACACACGCGCCAAATTACAGCCGCCATTGCTGACCTTCTCCTGTCTTACCGAGATGCCGAGCAACTGAAACGGTAGTTGACGATCATCTACAAAGGCCGATGCTTTAGAAAAGGACACAGTTGAATCTAATATGGCAATAACCTGGCCTGCTATGGTAATAATGAAGTGAAATAAACGGAATAAGAGGAAACAAAAACTGAAGGTCAGTTATGGCGGCGTCCATGCACAGCTGCTGCAAAGCGTCTATAGACTTTCAGTTGCGGAAAGGGAAATCTTTCAGGCACGCCCTGCTGGAATTCACGCGCGAATCCCGGTGGCAGCAAGAAACTAAAAATGCATTGATTGCCCGCGCTCGCTTTACCCGCGCATGATCACAAGCCGCTGCAGAACCCAGGGATCCTGGGTTCGAGCCCCACCCCTGCCCGTTTCGATCTGGATGAGCATCGTACCGCTGTGCGGTCGTGTATCACTACTGCGTGATGCACGTTAAAAACCCCAGGCTAGCGGCTGTACCGCACTGGCTAAATTTCTCATCTACAGCTGGGAGACTCGTCGCCCCTGTGAGGCAGACCAAGTTCTAGGCTGTATAAACACACACACAACCCAATTTTTTTGATCACAAGCGAAATGCCCGTGTCCGGATTTCTGCAAAAATAACTAAACGAAATTATCGAAAGGAAAGAGGGAAGGGTAACTAAAAATATTCGTGTACAGACTAACATGATTAAAAAAATCAGGTCTAAAATTAATGGACGTTTTTATCATCAGGAAGGTCCCAGCTTATGCATAGTTGTAGTGCGATTTCTGAATTTGGAAAAATAACTGGAGAAGGTTTGCTGCTATCTACAGCGGCAAAAAACATTTAGAATAGCCAAGACCTGGGCACTAGTATTTTGACGCCATCACAGGGAGATCGAGCGAAGACGCGAAATAAACACTAGTGTTGCGTCAGGTTTTGATAGGGCTCTGTGTCCAATCAACGCGTTGAAGGACGCTAGGCATCGGACTCGGGTCCGATTGGTGAGATGAAACTGAAATCGCGTCCCATGAAGGAAGAGAAGATTGAGTATTGTTTGTGATGTTAGATGGATGCGGGCACCACGCGCTAGTTACCACAACAACCGTCGTTGGTGTCGTGACGTGGCGTCGTGGAAGCATACGTTTGCCACTTTAGTGTGACTGAAAATTGTCTCGGTGTTTTTTGTGTTTTTTTGTTGATAACCTCCTTGCTTATTCGAAATCCAAATAGGAAAAACTCGATTATCATTGAGAGGCAAAAGGGCAGTATGCAATAAAACTGGCATTGAAGTGTTATTGTGGCAGTGGTAAAGCTGAAATCAAAGAGCTCCATGTCTGCCTTGTTGTGATCCCTCTTGCTGCCCCTTTTCAATACACAGAACGTTTACGTCCGTTCCTCAGAAAGCACGATTGCCTAAGTAAAAGCGAATAATGTAGCTTTCCCCCATAAACCTTCAGGTGAAACTACTCGGGGGCTGGCTCTTAGGTTAGTGTTGGGACGAATCGGTAGAAGTTCGCATTCGGCAAGATCCACCAAACGCCGAACAGTTCGAAAAAAATTCTCCAAAAAAATTCCGCAGAAGTTCGTATACGTCTGCGCATGCTCATTCACGTTAGCCGCTTGCGCCACGGCAGTAACCGCTAAAATGACTAACTGTGGAAAAAAAAAATGAAAAAAAAGAAGGAAAAAACAGGGGAAGACAGCGGACGACGGGAGGGTTCTCAGTTTCAACTAATTTGCTTCGCTGCGGATCCCGACTCGTGTTTTTATTCGGACTTTTAACATTGAAATGTTACATGTCAAGTGACTGAATAAAAGCTTGCCTCGAATAAGCACAAACAGTGAAGAGGTCATTACATATGCAGGTGTGGTTTGCTAGTTTCCGGGTTTTATGTATCGGCTTGTGGCCGGGAGATGACCGTGACCCGTCTCCCCTGTTTTCAAGAGCACGGAGGTGGGGCTCGGCCCTTGTGCACGGTGACGGTCAACGGTATTGACATTCGAGGCGCCCTCCAAACCAGATCCGGACGCAGCCTAGTGTTGAGCTTGTGTCCTTAACCAAAATACGCAATAACGGGGAGCTTTATGTGGTTTCGGATGCGTTGCATGCACGACACCCCAGGTTTATCAAAAAGTAAAAGACAAGCCGAAATTTAATCCAGAACTTGTGACGTCACAAATCGCGAGGGGATCAATGCCTTGTCATTTGAGAGCCAGTCGCTCGCGCCAACGGCTACCTGCTACCGCAGGCTCCCGTGGGTCGCACTGATGGAGATTTTACTCGGTGGATATAAAGCGGTTTTGCAGCACTTTTTACATCTTCTTGGGTGTGCAAGCGCGCGTTCTTATCTATCGAATTAAAGACGCGAACATGAAGTGTTTCTGGATGACTCCACCAAGGGCATTCCACATTATTTCAACTATTTGCTTTCCCACTCATCTCACGCTCGTGGCACCGAGTGAAGGCCTTGGGATGTAGATTCCACGATCGGAAATTTTATTCCAGCTTCGCCTCTAAATAAGTGTAGCAAATTACAACTAATTATGGTTGATTATGAATACTTTTGTGTGTGTGATTATATGCTTTGTATGTTTTTATATTTTCGGACTCCCTGGCCTTTACCCTTTCCGGAATGCTATTTAATATAAAAAAATCCTTAATAGTTATTGTAAAATCGGCAAATGAAAATTAGGCAAAAACCAGTCCGCATTTTTCAGTGCCGTGACGTCAGTGACAGGCAGGCTTTCCAGTCGAGCAAGCAATCTAAAAATAGAATATGCCAATCATTTGTTCAGTGCTGGAGCGCGGGTACTGGAGCGAGCTTCCAAAGCATTTATTTGACAAAATGAAACTGTTTAAATCAGTTGGGAACAAATTCTACAGTCCAAGGAGTGAACCCCTGCCTTCCACTGATGTCACTTTTCTGTTGTTGCCAATAGAGACTTTCAGTTTGAAAAACACGGTGAGGACAAAAACTGTAAATTTAATAACTTCGCAAAAAAAAACACAATATTTGGACCTAATATTTGGGATACTACATTAGCGAAGTGTGTTGGTGACAATGACAATAATAACCCCTGGATCAGGGAAACAAAGGGGACAAAAGACAAACAAAATCTCCAAACACAGCTATAGGTGACTGGTGTGCAACCGAAAATTCCGCCTGGTCCGGGTATCGAAACCGGGACCTCTCCATTTATAGTGGAGCGCTCTACCAACTGAGCTAACCAGGAGAAAGACGTCAGTAGAGCCAACGGGGTTCTTCAGCTGCCACCAGTCTAACACCAACAAGGGTGAACGGCCTGCATTTTTTAGGGTTATGATTAAGATGCAATTGATGAAAAGGTGCAAGCGAGCTGGACAAGAATGGCAATACTAATCCCCGAAGAAAGGGAACAAAGGGGACGAGGACAAACATAAATCTCCACTAACAAGAGTGACCCCAAAGGGTCACCCTTGTTGGTGTAATACAGAGGACAAACAAATCTCCAAGCACAGTTCGGAGACTTTCGTTTGTCCTTTGTCCCCTTTGTTCCCCTTCTCCAACGATTATTATTGTCATTCTTGTCCAGCTCGCTCGCACCTTTGCATTAATTGCACCTTAATGATTTGTTAGTGAGTTTAAAAAATTTCAAGCAAATCGGAGACAATTAAGCATCGCCTGTTCTTGGCTATGCATGCTGGCTCCCTGGGGCTTCGGCTCATTAAGTCCAATTGTGAAACGGCTTTTGTTACTCTCGACCATATTTTTTTTTTTGCATAAAAAAGGGGCTTAATATACATTCTGCGTTAAATTTTAACGTGCGAACTGCTGCAATGCACCAACTTGGACCTTATGGCAATGCATAGTTTGAGTGCTTGTCGGATTGTGTGATTGAGATCGTTGTCAGTGCTTGGCAAAAGGGCCGAAGGGCAAGCAGGAAATTGCTGCAGTGCACTGTGCACGTGAGAAGCTATCAATGATAAACATCACAAAAAAGGGGCACACAGGTCCGGCCAAAGCAGATGCCAACACAGAATCCTACATACTAACAATATTATAGTAGCCTCTTTGGTGAAGCCTCAAGTGGCTTAAGGAAGCGACACACAGAGAGAGTGCACTTGCTGTGTAGACGTGGCGCAACTGAAACTGCTATTGATACAATTGCCCTCTAGAATAACTTTTTAAACGTCAATATCTACAAATTTGTTGTATTTCAACGTCTAGCCTTTGAAGATATTTCCCGACAGAGTATACAAAAATTCAATCAAGCTGCTCAGCAACCCTGTGATTTTGACACATATCTTCGAAATGTGTTAAAAAAAAACTGCAAAAGTCCATCGTTTTAAAGTCAGGAAATGAGGTCATAAAACCGTTTTTTTTTAATAATGAGATTACAGAGTGCATTGCTTTGGCGAGGCGTTTATGAACTTAGAAAATATTTCCAGTGACACATTAAATAAGATATCCCATTTTAATCCTTCATAAAACGAAATCCTTATTGATACATTACCACCAAAGAGTCCTGCTTGTCATTCTTTAATTGTCAAAACGATTCAAACGACTTAAATGAAAAGAAACCTCGGATGAAAACCATTATTTCTTTTCGCAGAAAACGACTCGGCAGAGGTGTACTGTGCCTTCAAAAACGTCAAGATGTGTGATGTACTCCGGATCCCTTACGCTGGCGGTAAGTCTGACTTTGCTCTTAACTTGGCATTTCTGGCGCGAATTCTGAATGTAGATTATTTTATGCACGGCACCCGTGCCAATATAGAGGATGATAGTACATCTTTGTATTCTTTTACTCGCCCTAAGGATATTTTTCAATTTCTAATAAACGTTCTGTGCATAGTGGACTGAATAAAGTCATGAGCATTTCCTGGAGGCATAATGCAATTTCCACAAATTTAGCGTTTCATTTTAAAAATAGCATTTGCACCTCCGCCGTCGCCAGCATCCCTTGATTACTGCCATCTTCACGTGGTTATGCGTTACGACTTTTGAGTTTGATTATACTAATGTTTGTTGCCATGGCAAACGGTGCTGTGCACGGAACAGTAGCTTCTACAACGTCTATTCATTAACTGACCTACTTTTGAATCCTGTAGATGGGGCATGCGCACTCCTTGTTCCCAAGAGTCAACTGGGAAGTCACGAGGCGTGTTGTGATTTCATCTTCGATCTCCTCTGCGGCAGCACTCCCAAGTTCGACATCTCCGATAGCAGCTGCCCGTAGGGGTTTTGTGGAGCCTCTTATAACGTCTTTGTTGCGGTCCATTTGGGTGTTGGCTAAACACGAAAGCAGCTATTGGTCACGTTAAACGTTTGCAAATAAAACAAGAAACAAAACAAACAAACAAAAGCGTTGTGCACTTTTTTTTATTCTTGACGTATCTCGTAGCTTTAAATAAATAAAATATTTTGAAAAAAAAAAGAAGAAAACGGCTTCGGTATTGAGTGGGCAGCATAATTTATAACTGCCCTTTTATAATACAGATACACCGAGTACACGACCTCCAATCCAGTATTTTGGTGGAGGTCGCTGACAAACCCTTTAATATAATAGATTACGGTAATATGATGGTGCAAATGTTTTAGTATGATTAACTTTAGGTATAGCACCCGTGAGTTGTGGTTAGCAACGAAGTCTAGGGTCGCTGAAGCTGGGGGTGAGGACACTTCATTTTGGTACAGGTGCAGTTTTTGCGCAAAATTTTGGTGTTTCACGACTGTCGTTTTTATTCTTCTGAATACAAGACCGTACCATCCCAATCCCAGATGGTTATGTTTTAGTGCTTGTACCTCTCCAAGGTTCAAATGATGCAGAATGCGGCTGCAGCTCATTAAATAAAAGAAAACTACCAAACCAGCACCACTACTCAAGCACGATGTTAGGCTAGGAGACTACACTGTTTCGACGAAACTTGGAAAGCTGTGGAAGCTATGGCTCTCCTGATTCAAGTAGTGCGTTGGAGCAATGCACGTGACGCGTTAGTTTTGGAACGTATGCCTCACTATGCCACATGGTGACCGAAACCCCAGCTGTTTTCGTCACCCTCGGGTGGCACTGGAGGCTGATCAAAAGCAGCTGTGGTTTCGGTCATCGTTAGGGGCATGTCCCTCCACACTTCTGGCTCCACCTCTGGTGGCGTCATGTCACTTCCAGAAGTTTCCTACCTTTATATCAGACACCCACCGGGACTAAGTAACTTCCCGATATTTAAATATACACAAAACACAATCCATTTTCGCTAAACCAATGTCGTCTAGAAAAGATCTGTACCTTTCCTACTATAACGTCATAACTCTACAGGGTGCTAAAATATATCCATCCTTAAAAATGGGAACTGCGGAGGACTCAAGAAATTTGTTTGTGCACCTAGATTATACTCACAAGCGGACACTAGGTGAAAGGTTGAGTGTGGCGGTCAATATTCTAACTAACTGAAATTAATTAATAAACTTTCGAATCACAATAATTGAGGTATAGGAATTAAAAAAAATGCAATATACCCAGATTATTTCATTTTGTAGAATTCCCGTAAGCAGCCGGAGCCCGTCTTCCAAGAAATCTCCTGCAAATATGCCATTTATTCCAGCTAATTACGCGAACAAAACTGCAAACATAGGCGCAAAAGCCCTTCCCTGTGTGACGCGGTGGTATTACATTCCGAATGGCAGTGGGACGGAGCTGGTAGCTGTTCTCCGCCAACCAAGATCGAGAGCGATATATATATAATCAACAGGAAACCCCAATGTCCCCCAGTTCATCAACGCAACCCTGTGTCCTGAAAATCCCTTTCTGATATAAATTCCTGTATTGAATATTGATGACGTGGTCTCGGCCATAAAAGAATTTGCCCCCAAAAAGTCATGTGGGGAAGATGGGATCCCGGCCTTTATTGTAAAGGGTGCTCTGAACTTTTGGATCCTGTGCTGCATCACATTTTTAGCATGTGCTTACAAACAAGTACATTTCCTTCAGCCTGGAAACCTGCTTCGGTTGTGCCAGCACACAAATCTGGTAGCCCCACGTGTATCGATAACTACAGACCAATTGCATTGCTTTCTGCTTTTTCGAAGGCTTTTGAAGAAGTCATTTTTAGGCGTGTGAGTTTTCATTTTAAGCAGACACCCAGTCCAAATCGGCACGGTTTTTTGTCGTGAACGATCTGTCGATACAAATTTTTTAACCTTTTTGGAGTTCGCGAAACCTGTAGTTGGTTCCCGCAGTCAAGTTGATGTTATTTATTTGGACTGTTCAAAGGCGTTTGACCACGTAGATCACAATTGATTGCTATCGAAGCTGTCACATACGGGTCTTTCTTCGGGTTTCTGCGACTGGTTTGCTAGTTATCTTGGTGAACGCTCAAACATGGTTGCCTACTTCGGATGCAAATCTTTCCCTTATCTATTGAACTCTGGGGTACCATAACGGTCAAACCTTGGACTTTTGTTCATTCATATTTTTGTAAATGATCTTCTCACTAGTGTGAGTGACTCAATGGTGCTTCAGTATGCTGATGACGTGAAAATGTGTCGTAATATCCACACGCCTGTAGACTGTAAATTGTTACAAAAAGATATTGATGCAATTCATTTGTGGTGCTGTGCGAACTCGCTGGTTTTTAACCCCACCAAAATTAAGGTTGTTTATTTTTCCCACAAGACAAATGTTGTTTATCCTTACCCATTAGACGGCTGTGAAATTTCAAGATCTGCTGTTGTGCGTGACCTTGGAATTTTAATTAATTCACGCCTGAACTATAACTATCATGTTTCAAAGGTTATTAAAGATTTCTCGCGTATCCTGGGCATAATTTCACGCATTACCCGTGACTTCTGGAATTACACTTGAATAGTGAACCTTTTTTGGGCTTTGGTTCTATCACGGTAGGACTTTTGCTCTACGGTAGGGAATTCTTCGGGTGTCAGTCAGGCGCTCAGGTTGGAGTGCATACAGAGACGACTTGTGAAAATTGTGTACGATCGCCACATCGGACGGAGAGTTTTTTTATGATTATGTGGTTCTTTTGGACACTCTTGGTATTTCGCCTCTCTCAACTAGGCGACTAGTTCATGTTTCTATATAAGTGGTTCAATTCTCTTTTTGATGCCCCAATGTTATTGTGTAAAACTCCAATCCATGTCCCCCAGGGACAAAATAGGTCTACTCCTTTTTTTTACCCGTCTTCTCAAGAGTCCAGTCCTCCGCTGACTCGGATGATGCTAATGTAATACAAGTTTTTTAACCCTCACGTGGACTTTTTTGTATTTTTTAAAAAGTTCAAGAACAGTATACTGATCAAGATTGACGTGTAGTTTGTTTACTTCAGTGCTGTTTTATTATCTCAAGAGCAACCCTAAAAAAAAGGTCCCTAAAGGTGTTTGGGAAACACAATAAAGTTCTTTGATTGATTGATTTGACTGATATTTTGCGACCTCCTAGGACTGAGTTGCGGGCCTGAGTTGAGCTAGTTGGTGCATTACTAGGATAGGGCCAGCTCGAACTTGGGAGACGAAAGAATGTAGAATACAGAGATAGAATGGAGATAGAGATACTATTGCTGAACTACCAACTATTGACTTATTGCTTCTTCCTCTTCTTGGACCTGAACTGTCTGCTTTTTCTTTTCTTCTCATCCTAAGAGTGACATTCCATACTCTATCTCTGTCTCTACTTTCATTCTCTGTATTTTACGTATTTCCGTCTTCCAATTTCAAGCTGGCCCTATCCTAGTTCTTAGGACTGCACTGTAGAAGTCCCCACAAAGATTACAAATAATGAGATTGGCATACATACGCAGAAACAACAAATACAAACGCCACGGATGATGCACAAGTCCAGGACCCTGGCTCCACATGATTAAATGCTCGAAATTTTAAAAATACTAGTTTGTCGGATTTGCCGGAATCAATAATAATATTACATCTGTGTTGCTTTTAGAGCGCAGCTCGTAGGCGCACGTTTCCGACTTGAGCGGCGTCGCCGTCGGCATCGGCGTAACTGTGAGGTCACGTGACCCTCCCCTGCGGTCACGTGACCCCCGTAGGGCCACGTGGCCCCCAGAGGTCACGTGATCCCCGGAGGTCACGTGACCTCCGCGACGTCATGGAGGTCACGTGACCACCGCGACGTCATGGAGGTCACGTGACCTCTGTGACCTCACGGGGTTCACGTGACCTCAGGGGGTCACGGGACCTTAGGGGGGTCACGTCATTTCAGGGGGGCCACGTCGCCCCCGTGTCGGAGTAGCAGGCAGGATGACGAGGGGAGGAGGAGGGGGAGGGGTATACCCTTCCCTCAGTTCGCTTTCCTCCTCCTGCTCAAGAGCTGCGCTGTAATTCGGCGTTACAGGGAGTTGTAAACGGATTTCATTTTTCCAATTAGTGTCTCACGACAGTTTCGCAAGATTTCTAAAGATTCAATGAACTTAGTTTGCAGAAGAAATCTTTTAGAGTCCACAGTTACTCGAAACAGTCGCTAAGAGAACCACTGCTAGATCTGTTTGAGGCGGGAGTATTGTCGCTTCATCGCGTTGCACTGAAGCGATCTTTTCACTTTCTCTCTACACGATTCAAATTAAAGGGTCTCGCTTGCAACTGGATCGCACTTTACAATCATCTAAGTTGTATTGTTCGAAGTAAGGGGGCTAAATGGATGGGCGCAAGTCATTGGAACACCCTTTTTCGCCATACGAATGTAAAAGTTTATTTTATTTTGTTTAGACTCCTAGGTGTGTAAACGTCGGCTGCAGTCACAAAAAAGTTTCTTTAGCGGCTGGGACCGGACGAGTCTCATGCTGATGTCCTTTCGGTCTTCATTTTATTAAGTTTATGAGTCTACAAACGTCCAGCGCAATAAACCGAAAGTTGTGTTTGGAATAAGGATTGAAAAAAGTACGCCGACTTTCAAGATAATAAAAAGCGGAAACACCAAACCCTAGTTATATTGTCAATGTTCTGTTTTGACGCTGTGCCGTTTTGACGCTGTGCTGTTTTATCCCGTGCTTTTTTGACGCGTGCTGTTTTGATGCTGTGTTGTTTTTACGTGCAGTGCTCTGACCCTGCTGTTTTGTCGCGTGTCATGGGGCCGTGTATCATGCGAAGGTATGCGAAAAACATCCGAGTCATCATTATACCAGGCCTTAGTAAAAATTATTCCATCAAAGAGAACACCATACCTTTCGTACGCCTAGCAGGCAGGGAAGGCAATGGGGATAATAATCATTGGGG